CCAATGATTTGGAGGGGTGTCTCACTACTTTTGGCAACATAGTGTGTATGAATACATTATATATATATATATATATATATATATATATATATAGACACACACACACACACATATATATATATATATATATATATATATATACACACACACATATACACATGGTCCAGCTTTTTTGGGTAGGGGGCACAAGCTCCCGCCACGCCGGCGGTGCTTTCATCGGTTACAGCAGAAGCTGACAAGGGAGTAAAAACAGGCACATCGCTCACTAAAAGCAGCACACACTACACACCGTAAACAGTTAACCCTTTGATTGTCCCTTCTCAGCCAGTGTCCATAGTACAGTGACAGTGTATATTAGCACTGATCACCATATTAGAGTCATTGGAGATGTCAGTGTTATTTAGTGAGTTTGTGTCAGATTGCCTCCCGCACTATCACAGTCCCACTATATGTCGCTGATCACCGCCATTACTAGCATGTGTGAATAAAATGTATTTGAGTACAGTGTTGTATGACTGCGCAGTTAAAGTAGCACAGTGCCGAATACCAGTAAAAAAACAAACGAACAAAAAAAAAAAACGCACTGGCCATGAAGGGAGTAAAAACATCCGAAGCTTAAGTGATTAACCTATGGTGTGCTTAAAAGGTACTGCAGGACATCCAAATTCTCACTTCGAAAACGTTTTGGCTGACTACCTATAGTTCACAGTTCAATGAGAAAAGTCAGCTATAGGTTTTATTTTTGCAAATTTTGGAATTCTATAACCTGGAGCTTATCCAACATGCATTGAATAATAGATGTGCAAGTAAAAAACAAAAAACAGTGAGCCTGATTTAATTTGAAGGATGTAAAACCCATTGAGAATATACTAAAATTAGGTCAACAATTGCAGGCTCTTTTTTTCTCTAAATATATTTTAGGCACTCTGATCAGCTAATGAAAGGAAACTGGAAGAATGCAGGTCCCTAACCTTATGCCCAACAGTCTCCATACATGCCTATTCCTCCCTTGTCTAATGAAATTGTAAATCTGAAATGTTATTTGTGTTTTAAGCTGTTAACTGCAGTGGAACATCTTGAGCCAAGCAGATCTAGGTAATAAACTTCATCGTAAAACATATGATTGACACAGGGTGTATCCCAAGAGGTTCCAGAGCAGCTGAAAGCTTAATTGCATCTGCTTTTGTGGTGGACAAGTGGTGCACCCCAGGGGCTTAAACCATTAAAATCTCACCAGCCCAGAGGGACAACTGGCCCCCAGCCACCCAACCCAGCTGACAACTGACTGTGCATAAACGCCATTAAAACTTAATACTTTGGTGCGTGTCTTTGCTTCTGTTGAGGCAGGCTAGCTTTGGTTTAACCATCTGCTGGTCACTAACAAAGCAGCCACTTTCAGTGCTTTGGTGCATTTGGCTTACAGAAGAAGAAAAAGAAAAAAAAAAAAGACTGCCTATTCTTCAGCTGTGCTTTTAACTTGCAAGCACACATTACTGAAGTAGATTTTCAAATTCTAAATGCCCATCTAATAGCCTCTGAGTGGGATTGTAAAAAAGTGGTCATTTCTAAGCTGGCCCTTCAGAGGCTGCTTACTGTGCAATTTAATAATGTGCCCCTTCCTTACACAAATGTAGAAAAAAAAATTATATATATATATATACATACATACATACACACACACACACATACACATATATATATATATCAGGGGCGGACTGACAACTCATGGGGCCCCCGGGCAATAGGGGATCATGGGGCCCCTGTGTCCTTGCCCAAACTCAAAAAAGCCTATGAAAAAGGTACCAGGGGCATCTCATGGGGCCCCCTACTGACCCCGGGCCCTCGGGCTGTGCCCGAGTTTCCAAATGGTCAGTCCGCCCCTGATATATATATATATATATATATATATATATATATATATATATATTCATATTCCTGTTTCTGGCTTAGGTCCTTTCTGCCTCCTGGGATTGCTACGTCACACCTATCCTCCCAGGAGGCAGTGGGGGAGATTTAGTAAAACTGGTGCACTCGGAATCTGGTGCAGCAGTACATGGTAGCCAACCAGCTTCTAACTTCAGCTTTGACAATAAAACCTGGAAGCTGATTGGTTTCTATGCAGAGCTGCGCCATGGAGTTTTAGTAAATAACCCCCAGTGTGTTACCAAAGGCACATGAGCAGAACAGACACACATTTATAGTGAATCTGCGCACGCACAGCGGATTTCAGCATGTGCGCACACATGCCATGGTCTTTTATGGTGGTCAGCTACCAGAAATGGGGAAGGTTATGCACAAAAGCAGAAATCCACCGCCCATGCACATATGCACAAGATTTTGAAAGATGGTGGCGCAGAAGAGGGGCAGGGGTGCAGTTCTGCTTTTTACCTAATTTTGCCTAATCTGCCTATGTTTTGCATCCCCTGGTTCCTTCCTTCCTTCCAAAAACAAGCTAACATTTTTAAATAAAACCTGTTTTCAATACATCCTGGTTGTATTCGGGGCCATGTACCCACACCCCCATAGATCTCATATTGGAAGCAGCAGCTGTGTCCATGCAGCCGCTGGATCCAAATTGACAGCAATGGGACTGCCTATGAGTGGGATGCACAGAAATCCTGTGTATCACGGCCCTCCACAGGTGTATGCTTATGTAAGTGCTGTGTGAATGAGGCCGCAGTTTCAGTCTGGAGGGGTGGGTGTTTCTAGACAGGATGCATTTGCATGTAGGCAGCCCTATGGAGCATCCACCTGAAGTGCTGAGCTGACGGAACTGGCATTTAATAACTAACAAAGGAATGGGCCAGAGACAGTCAGGCTTAGGAGAAAAGCAATAGATGATGTTGGATGTCTTTCAGTCAGGAAATGAGTTGGGCTCTAACTTTTTGCAGAATCTACTGTACATTGTGTAAAGTTCATAGGCTAGAGTTCCGCTTTAATAATATTTTATCCAGTGCACAAAAAAACATATTGTTAAGCTGTTCATAAACCTCAGGGGATGGATGGACATCAAGGCACAACTGCACTGTTGGGGGGAGGTATGTGGTAGCTGCATTTAGGTTTTACATGCCTATAGAGCAAGAGGGGAGATGAGAGGCAGAGGAAGATATCTATGTTAATACATCTGAAATGATTGCTGCCCAAAAGTGGATGGATTGGATAATGTTAATATCATGACTACAAAGCCAGCATAGGTAATACTTTAAAAACAAACAAAAGAAAAAATGGGGCCTGACATTTCTTACATTGTCCTGAAAATGCTAGTTACCTGGCTATTTTGCCGACTCTAGAACTTTAGAACATAAGACATGTCCATATAAAAGTCCCAGCAATGTCAGCTGTCCTTATCTATATACATCTTCTGGGTTACAGACTCATAGGTACTGAAGCCAGAGGGACAGCATGAAAGTCCAACAACTAGTATTTGCAGAATGAAAGGAAGATAACAGTCTGCATGTTTCTCTCAGGAAAATGTAAGTTTGTTAAATTCAATGAATACTCTAGGGCTGCTCCATTAGAGCCAAACAAGTAAATTGAGTCTAACGGCTGAACTTCTAGTAAGTGCTAAAATAAATGTGAGCAGCAGTGTTTGTCAGCACTGAAGTTTCAGCTTTTCTTCTAATCAAGCAGACATCTTTTTTTTTTTTCATTGAAGAAGAATCATTCTATGTCTTTTCTGCAACAAAACAAACTGTTTGTAGTAATCTTTTAAATGTACACGGAGCCGTGCATGCGCAGCTCAGCATACATGCTCAGGACATAGCAGTGTGCTGGGATGAATGATTCCCATGTGCATGTACCAGACTCGCGTCATCCCTGCCAGAAAAGCAAGAGGCTGAAAACTTGGCACCCGGAGGAATCGCAGAGTAAAGATCTCAGTAGCCAGCAAGGGATCCAATGGTTGCATTACAGAAAACAAAGGTGAGTAATCTGCAGACTGTAGTTCCACTTTAATCTTGACTAACATTCTTCCTGAAATGCAGCTTTACTAATATAACCAGTTCCAACTTTTATTTTTAAAGAAATGCTAGTCACTTTAGTCTCCAATAAGAGAAAAAAACATCTTGTATCCAATTTTCACATGAGCGCATTTCATAGATCTGTTATCTTCTAACATCCATACGCATGATTCTGCTATTAACACTGCAAGCGTACATGATTACAGCTTCACTGGAGTCAATGAAAACCATTCTTTGAGCATCCGTTCACATGAAAGTGCTTTCCTGTTCTTTTTGCTGCATGGACCAGCACATTGCAAATTTAGTAGTACACAGCTCAGTGTGGGGAAAAAAGAAAAAAAAAGGTGCCATTTGGGTTGCTGCTGATACATCTCCTCTTGGCTTTAATGAAAACTGCTCAATCAGAGCCAGCACGGAAAATTGTGGGTGAGGTTTGTCCTGCAGGTTGTAAGCAAAAAAGTAAAAACTAATCTGCTCTTTATAAAATGTAGTGCATGCATAAGATCTCGCAGACAAATATTGAAGAAAATAAAGAAACAATATCCCTGCTAAAGAAAATGGAACTAAGAACCCCAGCAGGGAGCTTCGGACCTTACTCTTAGGCCCATTTCACAAAAAGGGTCCAATGAGGTCTGCCTGTCAGTTTTTCAGTTTTTCCATTCACATTCACCCCTTTGGACCAGTGGGTGTATACGGACTTGTATCCATTTACATCCACCGACATCCAATCCGGTCTGCTTAAAAAAAAAAATTAATAACAAAATAATGGAAGGGGATTTGCCCCCTCTGTCTAGGCGGATTGGATCGGTCCATTTACTCTCGGCTGCCCATAGAGTAGGGCAGCTCTTTCTGTATCCACTCTGCAGAAATTGAGCGGGCACGGACCTGTGATACGCCTGCTCTGATCAGCTCCTCCTGGAGGTGGTGCAATAACCCTACAGTCAAGTACCTGTGTCCTTTAATGAGCGGAAAAGAAACAAAGTTCTAATGTGAAACATTTTTCAGTACACACTGTATAAGCATACATAGAATGAATTTTACCTGGCAGTGCAGTGATAAAGTCCCTTTGCAACATTGGTTTAAGGTAAGTATTTATATGTCCATGTTGGTAGTGGCACATCCGGGAGATGAGATGCTCAACAAATTCTACCTGGTCGCATTCAGACCACTGCTCAAAGTACTTTACACAAAGTTCCTTCTCCTTCTCGTAGTTTGCAGATAGCTTCCTTTGCTTGGGCACGATCATGCTGGAAGTGCCATTGGCAAGTTTAGTCTGTGGGATAAAAAAAAAGGATATCAAAATAAATAAAAAGAAGGAACAATATTGTACACCACACAGTTCAAGCACACATAAATTCACACAATGCATCTGTTACACAACAGGAGAAAAAAAGATTCAGACATATAAACTGGCTGACAGGGAGCATCTATTTACTACTGTCAGCCAGCAAACAGCTCTGCATCCTTGCAAGGAACTCAGGAAAGGACATTACCACCCATGCTGGAAATGCACATAAAATACCACAGATTGTTAAATGGAAATCCGGAGTGACACTTTAATGCACGTAAATGAATTTCATGATCTTCCACCGTCAGGCTTACAAACAATTTAGTGCGATCCTATGAATATGTTTCAGTGGGAGGCAGGGACATGCAGATGCAAAAAGGTCAGGACGGACGTAGGAATGGCAATTAGGTCCCAACACAGCGCTCTTTTATAGCCATACCTATAAAAGCATACAATTTCTGAGATACATAAATACATGAAGGAATATAATGGTGGAAAATGCAGAAATTTGGATGAATATGTAAACATGTCAGATGCTTAGCAGAACTGAAGGATCTCTCAGATGAAAATGGCATGATGGGGAATATTTTCTGACGTTTACAGACTTCCTGATGAGGTATCCCATAGAGGACTTAAAAAGCTGCTTTTAGCATAAAAAATAAATATTACAGAACAGGAGAAACCCATACAAATTCCTCAGCGATATTTATGAATGTGGATTTTGCACTTTACATAAAAGGACTTACCTTTAACACATGTATACAAAGGTTTTTTGTAATGGGGAAGGCTACCAGAGGATGGGATGCATCATAATCCTGATAATGTCACTGCAAAGCTCCCAGAAGTACTTTAAAATATAACTAAAGGCAAAATGTTTTATTTCAGTTTTGGACGAGTGTAGATGGATTAAAACACAATAGTTTTTATTTAAGGAGATTCACCCTCTCTATTTGTCCTGTTTACTAGCATCATTGAAGGTGAAAGTAGAGAGGGAATCCGCCAATGGAGACACTAGTTGTGGTGACCTTGGGGCCCCCAAGGAACGCACTTAATTTGCAGGGATTTCCTTTCACGTCCTACTTGGCTATGGGGCAGGAAGTGAAGGAAAATCTCTGCAAAGGAAGGCAAAACAAAAGAAAAAACCTGAAAGGGGTTATAGCCCTTCCTTACTCGATCCAACCTGAAAAAAAAAAAAGGAAGAAGTTCTTCCTTTATCTACTTCCAGACCATATGGGGCAGGAAGTGAAGGAAAATCTCTGCAAAGGAAGGCAAAACAAAAGAAAAAACCTGAAAGGGGTTATAGCCCTTCCTTACTCGATCCAACCTGAAAAAAAAAAAGGAAGAAGTTCTTCCTTTATCTACTTCCAGACCATTCACCCGCAACATACTGGGGTAAGGAACAAAGATCTCCTAGTAAAAGCAGCACAAAATACACATATGACTCATTGTTAGGCACACATTTAACCCCTTGATCGCTCTAGATGTCAACCCCTTGGCAGCTACTATCATTAATATAGTGACAGTGTATAGTATTATCACTGGTCACTGTATTAATATCATTGAATGTGTCAGTGGAAGTTAGTCACTTCCTTTCAGCATCAATTAGTGTCAGATTGGCTGGCACTATTGCAGTCCCATTATAAGTCACTGATCACCGCCATTGGTAGTATAAAAAAATAAATAAAAAATTCCAATATATATCCCATAGTTTGTAGATGTTATTACTTTCATATAAACCAATCAATATACATGTATTGGGATTTTAACAGGTAACTGAACATATAAACTTTCCACAAGAAACAGAGCTGCTCTCAATAGAAAAGCCTTTTGTCCAGTTTACACTCTCCAAATTGTAGACCATTCCGCTTAATGTGTATAGGCTCTAACGAGTTTCACATCAATCAGAGATTACTCATAGGCGCACTCATACCCTAACAATAAATTCCGATTGGAGTAAAATGCATTAAAGCTCACACACACCAGGTAATATCGTCTTCATTTTGGAATAGGCTTTATATCGAAAATGGCTTTCTTTTCTTGTGGAAAGTTTGAGCGTGAAACAAAGAGCAGCCCAACAACTGCCGAGAGTCTGCTTCTTGAGTCAGGAGATAAGTATTGAATGGTGCAACGGATTATTGTAGTTTGTCTCTCATGCGTGCATGAAAAAAAAAATTATATATATTAAACAAAATATCACCAGTGCCAAAAAATATTGTGAAATAATCCCAAAAAATGCTGCTGCTCCTTAGTGATAACACTAATAAAATAAAAAACATAAAAAACAGCGCAAATAAATATTATATGTGCAACTCAAAAAATCTCAAAGATTACAAAGAAAATGTATTTTTGAAATAGTCCCACTCCAAAAAATAGAATATGATGAATAGAATAAAGTCCATATTCCAAGACCCTTGACCAGTATTCACACCCATTTGTGTTATAATCACACCAGATATTGGTGAGAAAAAAAAAGCCTTAAATTTGGACTCAGGAATCCTAGATCCCCTCGATTCAGCCTCCAATCTCCAGGTATAGATAGAACTCCCCCAGTTGTAGGTAAGACAAATGCCTCAGAACTCCAAACTGTAATTTGAATCAGCCTCCAACCTCCAGGGCCACCAAAGATCACTTGCCATAGGAAGATAATTTGTGCAGAGAAAAAATATATAGTGTAATACTGTAAGACTCAAACAGGATGAATTCAAATACCAAACCACTCACATCTTAAAAGAATTTAATCAGCATTTTATATCTGGAGCCACATCGCCACATAGCCAGGGTAAAGATATCACAGTCAGCAATAGATGACAGCATGTATAGACATGGTTGATTCTTCCCTCTAGCAAGATGGCCCCTAAGAGCGCCACACACCGGCGTGCGCTCCACTCACCGGAAGTGACACGGTACATTGGACGGGGAAGCCGGAAGTGCGTCAATGCGTTTCGCCCCTCTTCCAGTGCCCTGATTATCAGATTATCAGTGTACACGTTGTACTGGCAGTCTTGCTTGTTATCAACTCCGCTATCCTCACACGGACACAGCGTGTGAAGAAAGGACTGCCGAAAACTGGCAAGTCTGTTTACATGTGATCAGCTGGAATTGGACTCATCACATGTTAAAGGTTTGCTGTGATTGCCCCTTTACCCTGATCTATGATCAGCTGTGTATAAAAGAACACAGCAGTCACAGAAAGTGCCCGATGAGTGCCCTAGGGGAGCACAGGGGGGTGGGGTTCTTGGAGTATCTTCATGGACACCTTCCCAGAACTGGATGACCACGCTGTAGCCATCTTTTGGCTATAGCAGGGTTGACAAGTAGTTAATGTTAAAGCATTCAAAGACATTTTGGCGCGACAATTCGTTGAAGGCCTTATTCTGGTCACAGAGCCAGCTGCAGCTCCATAAAGATCTGGTTTTAGGAGTTTGGTATGAAGCAGCTTGAGTGGTGTGTACAGAGGACCTGGTATCAATCCTACTGAACATCTTTGGTATAGCCCAAAATGCCGACTGAGAGCTAGTTCTAGTTTGTTCTTCATCAGTACTTGACTTCACAGATGCTCTTTTGGTTGAATGGGTACAAACTTCCACAGATGCAATTAACAGTCTCGTGTAAAACATTCCCTGAGAAAAGGAGGCAGTTATAATGGAAAAAGGGGGCCCAACCCCATATAAATGCCCAGATCTATTTCAATGGGATGTTCAACAAGAAAACAAGTGTTGATGGCCAAGGGGTCACAAATTTCTCCCATATAGTGTCAAAGCATGTTTAAAATGACGGGTCTGTTTATCCAACCAAAGTTTGAAAGCCCCCAAAATACCTTTACAATTCTCATTAAATCTGTATTAAAAAGTCTTAAAGCGGAGCTCCACCTAAAAGGGGAAGCGCCACTTGTTTGCACCCTCTCCACTGTCACATTTGAGGTACCCACTCCCACCTTCTGGCTCAGTCCCTTGCTAAGAACTGAGCTGGACGTTAGGCCCCCTCCTTCCCCCAAAGTCTTCTGGGAAACTTCAAAGGTCTCAGAAGACTACGGATCAATCGCAAGGCGCAGTGCGACGAGCACACGCAGTAGGAGACCGTCTGAGGAGTCGTAAGGCTTCACTTTCAGTTTCCCTTACTGAAGATGCTGGCGCCAGGAACCCAGAGGCTAGTGAAGAACTAGCGCAAGTGACTACGGTGCTGGACCCATGGACAGGTAAGTGCCCTTATATTAAAAGTCAGCAGCTACAGTATTTGTAGTGGCTGACTTTAAATTTTTTGAGGAAGTCTTGAACTCCTCTTTAAGAGTTAAACACCAAAAAACTGCACAATTTATAGTAAACCTGAGATTTTTCTGTAAATGGGATTAGAATGCACTTGCATGTTGACATTGGGCATATTGCAGTGTAAATGCAAACCCAAACTGCACAAATCACTGTGTTCTATATGCTACCACGATATACCTAATTTGCATATGTATATACAGTGCCATGAAAAAGTATTTGCCCCCTTCCTGATCTGATGTATTCACTCAGATAACCTGAGTGAATACAAAATGCAGTTTTTAAATTATGATTTCATTTATTAAGGGGAAAAAGCTGCCCAAGCCTGCCTGGCCCTATGTGAAAAAGTAATTGCGCCCCCTTACCAAAACCTATAACTGGTTGTGCCACCCTTGGCGGCAACAACTACAATCAAACGTTGCAATAACTTACGATGAGTCTTTCACATTGTTGTGGAGGAATTTTGGCCCACTTTTGCAGAAATTGTTTTTTTCAGTCACATTGGAGGGTTTATGAGCGTAAAAAGCTTGTTCAAAGTCATGCCGCAACATCTCAATTGGATTCGGGTATGGACTTTTACTAGGCCACTCCAAAACCTTAATTTTTTTTTTTTTTTGAGCCATTCAGAGGTAGACTTGCTGGTGTGTTTCAGTTAATTGTCCTGCTCCATAACCCAAGTGCGCTTCAGCTTAAAGTCACAAATTGATGGCCAAAAATTCTGATTT